GGAGTCCGTAAATGCAATTCTAATTAAGTTAGAAACTCCATTTCTTTACTATAATAATCCAGATTAGTTTATCTAAAAGTTTGGTAAAATAAATATATTTGAAAATTAAAAATCTTTATGATACGGTCATGAATGAAGCTGTGTGTTACAGCAAAGACTGGTATTTTCCACTCGCATGGAGCTGTGGGGGATTAGTGGGTATCGTGTACCTGACCTGATGCAATGTCAGGTTGAGGTAGGGTGGGGGATTAGTGGTCACATATTAGTACCAGTGTTGTACGTTGATGCAGTTAATTTAACCCCGTCAATGGACGGCGGCAACTTTTTGTTAACACTGACGCCATAATTTTTTGGGGGCAGGTGACACTACAGGTGACGCAGTCAACTTTTCACCGGAGGGGAGCACAAGCGTCAATTTGTTCGTCAACTTCTAAAATTTTCAATTTTTCCAAGTTCGATTTTCAATTATCTTGTTACAAAGATGACCAGGAAAAAGTATGCCACACCCGCCACCAGAGGGCGTAGGGTGGTGGAGTGCATGTTCTCCATGGCCAAGGACGTCTTGAGGCCCAAGGGCAGCAGAATGAGCGACAAGCATTTTGAGATGCTAGTATTCTTGCAGGGAACAAATGAACAATTAAAATGATATAGTAATATGAATCATAACAAATGATTAAAGAAGAATTAATATTTTTTATTTTGCATATGTTACCCCCATACACAGGAGAATACGTGTTACGGGGCTGCATTTGTACGTCACTGAAAACTCATTGACGCTGACGCTAACAGCGTCAATTTATGAAATCGTTTACGCCGACGCTTACGGCATCAAATTTCTCGGCCGTTTACGCTGGCGGCGCCACTTTTGTCATTGATGCGTACAACACCGCATATTACTGACCTTTTGATGGAATGTCAGGTCACCTTTTCTTGGGTGGGGGATTAGTGGGTCTCATGACCTGAGGCTTGAATAAACACGAAACCTAAAGTAATTTTAGAGAGAATGTGATAAGTAGAAGTATAAATGAGCAAAGTTGTATCCCTCCAACATTACATTACATAAAATTTTAAAATATGGAGTGAGAAAGCAGAAAGTTGTGGGTGATTAGAGAGGGGTGGAAATGAGTGTTGCCAAGCACTCCTCAACAGCAGATATTTAACTCGCGATCACACACACGCAAATTTGTCACACAATTAGACCCTCACTCCTTACGTCTGCTGTCTTAAGTCCCTTGTTAGGGGTATGTGAATGGTGTTGGGTTGTGTGGGTGAGTGTGGGGAGAGGTGTGATGTTGGTGTGTGTGTGTGGTTGGTGGAGTGTGTGGGTGGTTGTTGGAGTGTGTGGGTGGTTGTAGAGTGTGTGGGTGGTTGTAG